AACCAAGGTCTTAGGTGGCCCACAAGGCCCTACCAGGTCTGATCTCTGTCACCTCTCTGTCCGCATCTGTCCCCACCCTCCCCGTTGCTCACTCCACTCTAGCCACACTGTTCTCTCCTGCTGTTCCCTGAACATGGCAGGTATGCACCTGTGTCACAGCCCTTGCACTGGCAGTTCTCTTCGCTGGGAATGCTCTTCCACCAGATATCTTCATGGTTCCCCGTATCGTGTCATATATATCTTTGCTTAACTGTCACCTCCTCAGACATGCCTTCCTTGACCATGCTGACAAACGTCTGCCTTTCTTATTCTTTGACCTGTCTCTCCCCAGTACAATGTAAACTCCAAAAAGGTAGTGATTTTTTGTCTCTACATTGTTCTCTGCTATGTGCTTAATGCCTAGAACAGTGCCTGGTGCATAGAAGGCACCCAATAATTATTTATTGACAGAATAAACAAGCTTCACTTATTTGTCTTCTTTCTAGTAGTCTCTCTTTCCATTAGTCATATATAGCTTGCTACTGAGCATGTGAATGTGACTAATCACACTGAGAAACTATTTAACTTAAATGTAAATTCAAATAGATACGGAACATTTTCATCATTTTAGACAACTTTCTGGACAACATGCTTTAGAATATAAGTTCCCAAAGGGCAGAGATATTGTTTGCTTTAGTTGTTACTGTGTTCTCAATGCCTGGCACAAAAAACTTCTGTCACGTTAATCAGTGAGCCAATATATCAATAGTTCTCTGTATACAAACATTATGTTCAAGGCACTGTGCTTAGCTCAGCCATACCTGCTGGTAAGTGTTGGTTGCGATAATTGGGCGGATCACAGGAGCTGCTGGGACCTGCATCGCTTCTACAGTGGGGACCGTGGGCACCGCAGGCACAGCAGTTGGGATGCCGGTTACTGGAGCCCCCAGAACTTCCTGCTCAAACCTAAGGAGGCAAGACCAACAACACAGTTCAGGACCTTCCATTAATTCCGAAACACTGGGTATACCGCGATAGAGCCTTCACCCCTGCCAACCTCTTCTTACTCCCGCCCGCACAATCCCGAGGGTCCTATTTCCCCATGACGGAGCCCCGTCGGACTAATTGCGGCCTGGGGGCTCCAGGGCTCGGTGGCTCTGGCTCTGGGAGGGCTTTTATTGCGCCTTGCCGAGGGCCTTACAGGGCCATCTCCGCCTCCATCTCCTTCAAGCGTTCCTCCCCGCTCTTGCCCGGCATGCCGGCGCCAGGGCCCGGGACCACAGGTCCTCCTGCACCGGGGAGTCCCGGGGCTGGCCCCGCCCCGGCCATCGCTGCTGCCGTCGCTGTCGCCGCTACTACCGCCGCGACTCCGCGGCCTCCGCCAGTTCCGCTGTCTACTCTCTAGTCTTGTCGGGGATGGCGCCCTCGGATGACGTATAAGCCAAAGCGACGGGCGCTGGTGCGTGACATAATACGCCAATGGGGGTCTCGCCTTTGGAGCAAGGCCAATGAGAATCTGGCCACACCTGGAGGGCCCCCGCCCAAGAGGGATATCGACCAATCAGAGTGCGGGAGAAACAAACCAATGAAGAATCTGGATCTAAATAAGTGAAGGCAAGCGAGGCGGCTACGCCTTCATTGGAGGAACGAGGGCTACTGAGAGCGCTGTAAAGTCGTTGGCCCAGTCCCTAAAGAGGAAACTGGACCTTTGAGAGCTCAGAAAAGTTGGGAGGCCCCGCCTGTGCCACCGAAGCTCGTTCCGGAAGTTTTAAAACACATTGACATCCGCGTCAGCCAAGGGCTGGTCGAGGCTGGAGACTGCCTAATGCCTTTCCCTCTTGGGTAGACAGACACCACTGACTTCCAGAAAGACCAGGAACAGGATGTGGGAAGCTCACAGTGGGCGCCTACCTTCTCCAGAAGGAGAAGGTAACACCTGAAGACTTTTTGCTAGATGAAAAGGGAGAGAGATGGAGGGAATCGTTCGCTGTAAAGGCCGAGAGAGTAGTAAAATACAACTCAGAAAGTCACGTGTGTAGATTTAGTGTCCGTGTCCTTTCTTCGGACACGGCTAACCTCTCCTTTTTTCGCAGTCCTCAATAGGTTTTACTAGGAATATTTAAAATACACAACTCTGGAGAATGTAATGAGCCTCCAAGTACCTCTCAACAATTACTGATATTCTACCCTGTTTCATCTATACTTCTCCCCCTCCTTCTTGCTGGAGTATATTAAAGCAAATTCCAGACATATGTCAATTCCTCCTAAATACTATATGATATGTCTCTAACAGATAAGGACTATTTACAAGCAAAAAACAGCATTTTTACACCCAAGAAAATTAACTTCTAATTTCATTCTCGGATTTCAGCGCGCGCGCGCGCGCACACACACACACACACACACGGAAATATTAATTTCTGGGTCTATCATCTGACACCCAAACTATTCAATTTTCCCTTCAAAAAGTATGTGTAAAATCAGGCTACAAATAAAGTATGCACATTGGATTTGATTGGTTGGTCGGTCTTTTTTCTTTTTTTTCTGTCAAAACTTGTTGACTGGCTTGGTTTCTTGAAGTTACAACACTAAATCAGCACTAATGAATGCTTTGTTAAGATACTGGCTTTTGTTTGCTTCTGTGCTACAGATGTAATAAGAGAATAGGTCGCCTCCCCCTTTTTTTACATTATTATTAACTAGAGTCCATACTTAAATTTCCATAGTGTTTAATTAATCTCTTCTGTTCGATCATATCATCCAGGATACACTGCATGTAGTTGTCTTATCTCCTTAGGCTCCTCTTACTTACAATTTTTCACACTTACCTTGTTTTTCATGAGTTAGTTTTGAGGAGTCCTGGCTGGGTATTTTGTAGCATGTTCCTTGTTTGGGATCTGATGTTTTTCTCATCATTAGACGGGGGTTATGTGTTTTGTGGGGGTGGGGGGAAGGCTGCAGAGGTAAAGTGAAGTTTTCATCATGTCATATCAAGGGTACATACTATCAACATGACTGTTAGCATTAACTTTGATTTCCCAGCTGGGGAAGCGTTTGTCAGGTTTCTCCACTATAAAGTTACTTTTCTTTTTACTCCCTTTCCATGCTCTTTGGAAGGAAGTGACTGTGCCCAGTCCACACTTAAGGGGTGGAGAGTTATATTCCACTTCCTTGAGAATGGAATATTTACATATTCTGCACAGGGGTTTTTCTCCTTTTATTATATCATTTTTATCAGTATAGACTCATATTTTATACTTTGGGTTGTAATTCAATATTACTTTAGTTATTTTGTTGCTCAAATTGTTCCAACTTTTAAAATCTTAAGTCTTTTTAAGATAACTGGGTGGCTCCGTCAGTTAAGGCTTGGACTCTTGATTTTGGCTCAGGACATGATTTCATGGTTTGTGAGTTCGAGCCCCACATTGTGCTCTGTGCTGACACTGCATAGCCTGCTTGGGATTCTCTCTCCCTCTCTCTCTGCCCCTCCCACTCTCATTCACATGCTCACTCAAAATAAACTTTAAAATTTTAAGTCTTTTGAAGGGCGCCTGGGTGGCTCAGCCGGTTAAGCGTCCGACTTTGACTCAGGTCATGATCTCATGGTTCATGGGTTTGAGCCCCGTGACAGGCTCTGTGCTGACAGCCTGGAGCCTGCTTCCTATTCTGTGTCTCCATCTCTCTCTGCCCCTCCCCCGCTTGTGCTCTGTCTCTAAAATAAATTAACATTAAAAAAAAAATTTTAAGTCTTTTAATCTATAAATTTCCCTCCCTCTGCCTTTTTATTCCTTCCTTCCTTCTACCCTTTCCTTCTTTTCTTTTTCTTGTTTATATGTTTTCATCAATAATTCTCCTTACTGCATCTGGATTTTGAATTATATATAGGCAAGTTTGGCCAACTTCTAGTTTATAGAGAACTTCACCTTCATGGAGCTCATATTCTGTTTGGAGGACAATAAAGGATAAATAAAGTAGAACAGAAAGTATACTAGAAGACATACTACAGAGAAAGACAAAGCAGGCAGGGGGGACAAGGACCCCTGTGTTGTCTTGGCTAGAAGCCAAGATGAAGAGGAGGGGAACACTAAGGTGGCACATTGTAAAGCAAACATATTAAAGATGCCAAGATGTCAAATCTCCCTCATTTGTAAACTCCCTGCAACCCCTGTAAAACTCCCATCTGTGTGTGTATTTTTTCTGGAAACAGGTAAGTTGGGTATAAAGTTCATTTCATTTTGGAAAAACAATTAGCAAGAGATAGGGAAACCTTGAAAAATTAGAGCAAGACCAGCCATTTCAGATACTAAAACTTATTTCAAAATCTTTATAATCAAAACACTGTGGGGATGGCATATGAGAGTCAGACAGTAGGCTTGGAGAATCCAAATATTGCCCAATTAACCATGGAAATTTAACATATGAAGAGGTGGCATCTCAAATCACCTGAAATTTTATTTATATAGGTGGGTAAAGTTTTACTTTATAAATTGAAGAGTAATTCACAGTGAAATGCACAGACATAAAAAGTATAGCTAGACGGGTTCTGACACCTACCCTCATTACCTTCAACATACAATCCACTTCCAACTCTAGAAAGTTCCCTTGTCTCCTCCTCGGTTGATCCCTGCTACTCACCTCTCCTTCAGAAGCAACCACTGCTCTGAGAATTTTTTTTTTAATGTTTTATTTATTTCTAGGAGACAGAGAGAGAGACAGCATGAGCAGGGGAGGGTCAGAGAGAGAGGGAGTCACAGACTGAAACAGACTCCAGGCTCTGAGCTGGCAGTCAGCACAGAGCCCGATGTGGGGCTCGAACCCACGAACCGTGAGATCATGACCTAAGCGAAAGTCGGACGCTTAACCAACTAAGCCACCCAGGCGCCCCTGCTCTGAGAATTTTAAGAAGTGCTATTGGGATACATGTAAATATGATGAAATTGGATCCATTTGGATAATTTCCAAATGACTTTAGAGATTTATATGTAAAAAAAGCTGTCACCTCCCTCCCACCCCAGCCCCCTACAAGCCCTCCTTGGGCACCCACGTGCTTCCCTCTCATTACCTTTACAGAGTGTGTGCGACCTTCTATCTAAAGTTGCGCCTCTTACAGCTTGCTTTATTTTTCTCCAGAGCAGCTATCTTCCAACATACTAAACATTTTGCTCACTTAACTTGTCAGGGATCCATCTCCCTGTCCTATAACAACAGCTTCCTGAAGTCTGGAACTTTTGTCCATTTTGTTCGGTGCTAGATCCTCAGTGTTTAGGACAGGTGCTCAATGACATTTTGCTAAGGGTGAAGGTGATGAGGGCAGTTTCAGGGGGACCTAGGGTGGGGTCCAGAGTAGCTTGCTGCCTTGGTTTTAATGGGATGAAGAGACAGGTGTAAGGCAATTGAGGGGAACGGAACAGGCTGTGAGGGGGCCAGCAAGTGGGTAGAGACGGTGGGTTGACACATCTGGATGATGCTCTCTTCCAAAGGCCTTTGGTGGGGTGAACAAACAGGAAGCTCTTGAGTTGTTTGAGCCCCCTTTTCATCTGCACAGTTGCTGCAGGGCGCCTTGGGCCTGGACCCAGCGCAGCCGCCACTGGGGCAGGGACAGGCCCTGGCAGAGCTCCCCGGAGAGGGCGGCTTGGCCTGGCTGCTCCCACCTGGGGGAAGGGGACAGTGTCACAGGGAAGGCCCGGGCCTCCCCCAACGCCCCCCTTCCTCGCCCACACCCCCAAGTCCTGCCTACCCCGCCCCCCACATCGTGCCCCGCTCTAACCAGTCCCCAACGACCCCCTGTAGCCTGGGGATCCGCTCCAGCGCCTGTGTCAGCAGGTTCTCCAGCTGCTTCAGGGCCTGTCCCAGATTCTCTTTCTGCTCCTTTTCCCGAGCTGCCCGGGTCTGCAGCAGCTCTGCAGGGGAGAAACCCAGGAGGCAGTGCTGAGTCCTCTGGCTCCTGGGGTTTTGCAGCCAATGGGTCACCAAGTCTCCAGTCACCCAGTGTTGACCTCACCTCTCCCACACCTCCCCCCTCCTCTCGGGTCCTCATCTCAGGGGCAAGCCCACCATCCCCCAGGCTTCATCCTGGATACCTTCCTCCCTCCCCAACAGACTACCAATCCTCTTTGCCCATCCCTCAGCTTCCTCCCCCTTCTCCCCTTCCCTACTCACCCCCCAGCCCTCTTTCTAGGCTCCAGGTCTCAGCCTCCCATTCTGGTCCATGCCTCTGGTACATGCCAGCCAGAGTGGTCTTCCTAAGGCGTAAACCTGATCCTTTCCCCCTCCTGTGTGGAACCCTCCAAGGCTCCCCAGTAGCCCCAAGACAGAGTCTGAGCTCCTCAGGCCAGTACTTGAGGGTTTGCACTATGTGACCTCTGCTACTACCAATCCTCACCTATCCCTCTGGGCCCATTCTGGGCTTCCTCCTGGAAGCCCTTCCCAGCATCCCCCACCCCAAGGCTTCTCCTCACACTGCTGTAGGCCTTCACTCCAGCAGTTTCCCTGGAGACTATGACTGGATCTAGTTCCTCTCCACAGGCACATCTCAGACTAAGCACAGATCAGCAGTGTGGTCAGAGCCCTTGGGCCTGAATCCTGACTCCATTCCATCCTTGCCTTCTGACCTCAGGCATGACATGTGCCTCTTCTTCAGCTACTTCTGCGGTCAGGTGTACCTGAGCCACAGGCTAGCGGGGCAGAGTGCGGACTGGCACACTCTGGAGTAGGACCTACAAGGCTTGTTGACAAGTTCAAGGTTGGGGGGGGGGGCGCACAGGAGGTTAGGGTCCTGGGGGGAATTAGGATGACTCTGGGTTGCTGGCCTCAGGAAGGAGGGTGAGGTCATTTTTTGAGGGAAGGAAACCAGGCAGAAGAAAAACAAAACTGCTTTTCAGATCAGAGGGAACTATGCTCTGCTGCAGCCATGCTAAAGCCCAAGGTGCCCATGTGGCTGGACGATGTAGTGCTGTGTCTCCGGCTGCTCCCGCACACAGCTCCCTCCCCACACACAGCTCCCTCCCTGCACGCAGCTCCTTCCCCGCACACAGCTCCTTCCCCGCACACAGCTCCCTCCCTGCACACAGCTCCCTCCCTGCACACAGCTCCTTCCTTGCACACAGCTCCCTCCCGCATACAGCTCCTTCCCCCTCCACACACACAGCTCCCTCCCGTACACAGCTTCTTCCCCGCACACAGCTCCCTACCACACAGCTCCCTACCGCACACAGTTCCTTCCCTGCACACGGCTCCACCCAGCACACAGCACACAGCTCCGGCACACGGCACACAGCACACAGCACACAGCTCTGCCAGGCACACAGCTCCCAGCTCACTGGAGGAGAAGGCCTGAAACTCAAAGGCCAGAAAATGGCCTCTTCCTGCTTTGCTGATGGCACCCCAGTTCGTTTCCCATCAATACACCTCTTCCACCTATTCATCCTTTGGTTCTGCTCGCTTTGCTTCCACCACTGGGATCCCTGGGGCTGGACAGCTGGGGGCCTCTCTCCCCGTGGAGCTCTGGGGGCCAGTAGCAACCCAGCAAGTGCTAGTTGAGGGAATCTACTGATGAACCACTTTTCTGAGTTTCAGTTTTGTCATCAGTAAATTGGGTCTTAATCTCTACCCTTATGGTGAGAACTGAAAGAGACTGCACGTGTGCAGACAAAAAGGTCACAATCACACCAGAGATGCACTGTGCTTCCAGTATGCCGTGCATTGTTCAGTGCCCTATTTGGGTAACCGAACTTCGTCTTTGCAGCAACTCTGTAAGGTACTACGATTATGCTTACTCCACTGAAGAGGAAACTGAAGCACATGGAGATTACACAGCAGGGAAGATGTAGGGCTGAGAAGAGTTTAACTCCACAGCCTAGCTTTTAACCACTCAAGTATCTTATTAGATGCTGATACTTGACTGCTTCACAATTTGATAGGCAGTGTCACCTGGTTAAGAGTACAGACTACATGTCAGACTGCTGGATTTAAATCCTAGCTCTGCTACCTAAGCAGCCACCAAGGCCTCCTGTCTTAGTTCTTGCCTCTGTACGTGGGGCACATGGCAGTGCTAACCCCATGGGGCTGCGGCGCAGGTGAAACCCGTGAGCATGCTCACAGCTGACGCGGCGCACGGTCGGCACTGTGATTTCTGCTGGAGGCTGGCAGCCCTGGGAACGGGCAGGAATGCCGCTCGTGAAGGGAAGGCAGGCCTTACCCTGGGTGGGTGGTCCTGGGGGCAGGCTGGTCTTCATGCGGAGCAGATCCCAGCACCGGAGACTCTGCTGGTCCTGGAGAAACAGAAGGTCCTGACGAAGAGAGGCGGCCTTTGGAAGGAGCAGCTCTGGAGCCTGGAGGGAGGGGAAGGGACAGTCATTTTGGGAGGGGGTAGGGGTGGGAAGGCAGGTCCTAGGGGATGGAAACTCACCTTCCCTGCAGGCAGCCCCAGTCTGTGGCTCAGCATTATGAGGCTGGAGCCCCTCGGGGACGCAGGATGCAGCTGATGGATGGATGGCAGGACAGTGGGCAGGGGCTGTAGCCTGGAGGGAGAGTCCGGGGGCGGGGGGGGCACTGAGACGAGGCTTGGGTTCCAGAGGTTCTGGGGGCTGAGAGGTGGGCTCAGGAGGCCCAGGAACTTGGAGGTGGGTCTGGGGACTAGGATTCCAGAGTTGGGACTGAGGACCTGAGGGTGAGGTCTGGCAGCTTGGGAACAGTGAGGGCCTGGGATTATTTTTTGGGAGTAGAATCAGGGAGTGATAGTCATCCACAGGAGGGGAGACAGGGGGTGGCCTGGTGCTACCCTCCAGGGCTGTGCCGAAGCAAGGTGTCCAGCGGAAGGTGGGGAAGATGCCGGGCTTCCTCCTCCAGACAACTAAGCAGCTCCTGGGACTGTGGTGCCACTGCCTCAGATGTGGGGACCACTTTTTGCTGAACCAGAGCCAGTACCTGTGGGGAAGGAAAGGGATGGGAGGGGCAGCCTGGAGCCACCCAGCCCCATCTGTGGGAGCCCTAGCCCTACGCAGACCTTGCCTCAAATCCATCCTCACCTCCGCAGGGCTCCGGCACAGGCGCGTCTTGCTGGCTGAGTTGCCTTTGATGAGCAGGCGGATCTGTTCCTGTGTCTCCTCCTGGATAACCACGAGGCCATGGAGATGGGCTGCTTTTACTTCCTACCTCCCAGCCTCTGGCCCTGCCTGCCCCTTTGTACAGTCCTCCTTCCTCTTGGAAGGCTCATCCTGGGCCCCTCCCCACCACGAGGCCCAGTTCTGGATCCCAAGGCTCCGGCCTCTCTCTGGCCCTCCATGCAGCACTTCCACTTTCCCCGAGGCCCGCCTCTCACCACCAGCCGGCGCCAGTGCAGGATCCGTTGTTGTTTGGCCTGTAGCTCCTGTAGCAGAAGCTGCCGGCGCCCAGTCACCTCCTCCAGCTCCTGGCTCTGGGCGCGCAGGGCCTTGAGCTCTGCCCACAGGCCACAGCCTCGGAGTCCCAGCACCAATGCCTGCCTGGGGCACAAGCAGAAGAGAGCAAGGCAGAGGAAGGTGACTAAGACTCATAGTGGAAGAGGGGGATCAGATCTGGCAGGATGCACAAGGAGCCACAAACACGGAGATAAACCAGGAGGGCAGGGAGGCAGAGCTGGGAGGCAGAGGGACAGAAAAAGTCCAGTATTCAGAGGCCTCTGGGAGAGAGGTGGCCTAGAGGCCTCTGCTGAGGGAGCCCCTCACCTCTCTCTGGATTCCAGGGGACATCTCTCCACCTCCTCCATCAGGCCTTGGAGGCGCTGGGTCAGGATTTGATGCTCCTTCAGCAGGGGGCCCCGCTGGGCCACCAGCACACCCACGTCCCGCCAGCCCTCCTGGGGCAGGGGTATAAAGTCAGGGTGGGTATGATCCTTGGGGGTGAAGGGATCAAATGGGCTCGGGATGGGAAGGAGATGGAGTCTTGGGAAGGAGATGGAGTCTTGGGAAGGATGCCTGGGGGTCACCTGGATGAGATGCACCATGGACGGCAGGGCCTGGCTGGAGTCTGGCTGGTCTGGTGCCTGGGACCTGGGGGTGGGATAAAACGGCTAAGGGAGGAGCCCTCTCCCCTTCCTGAGCTTTCGGGGGTGGCCATTGTCAGCCCACCTGCCAGACTGATCACTGTGTTTCAGCTCCATCCCCGACAGCTGATGGCTGCGCCTGGTCCTGAGTCTGGTCCGGGTTACCCGTCCCCTGGCCCTGCCCCACCCTTAGGAGCACTCCGCCTCACACCTGGTTATCTCCGTATCTTGGAGCCCATCTGGACTGCACAGGGACCGAATCTCTGCCTCCCGCTCTTCAGCCAGGTGCTCCAAGGAGGCCAGGATGTGGCCCGGAGGATGGTTTGTCAGTAGTGTCTGGGGGGAGGTGGGGAGGGTGAAGTAGGGCTGGATGGGGACAGGGCTGTGACCTGGGACCCAGGGTGATGAGGCAGGGATTAAGAGTTAGGTTCTGGCACCCTGGGGTTTGCTCATGGGGCAGAAGGTGTGGCCTTTCCTGAAAGCTCCCCTCACCTCCACTGAGCTAAGCCACTGCTGGTAGGAAGCTCCAAAGTGGTCATCTCGAGGGGTTCTACAAGGTTAGGAAAGGGGACAGAGAATATTACAAACATGTCAACTCTCCCTCTACTGACTACCACTACCCTATAAGGTGGGGGCTATTGTTCCCATTTTAAGGATGAGGAAACCAAGTCCATCTATGCCTCCTGGACTTGAATTCCCAACTAGCTGGACTTAGGGCCTTTTACATGTGCTATTTGTCTAGAATACTCTCTTAACCTCTTACCCTTGCTAAGCCTCCTCACCAGAGAATCTGTCCTCCCTGACTCCTTAGCCGAGTAGTGTCTCCTTTGGGTACCCGGAGTTTCTCAGGCTTCCCTGCCCCCAACATCCCTAACCACTGACTGTCACTATTTGTGATGGATTTGTCTGCTCCTTGTCCCAGCCTGGAGCCGTCAGGGCAAGGCCTGCGGCTGACATAGTCCAGAGGCTCAGTGGCTGAGGAATTAACAGCGAAGTGACTCCCCCCTCAAAGCCCAGCTTCTCGGCAGGGTCTGTGGGGCCTGGATGACACTCACAAGACGATGCCTCCCTTGGCCTGAGGAACTAGGAGGTTCTGCAAAAACTGGGTCCGGAGGGTACAGGCTTTTCGGACATCAGCCTGGGAAGAAGAGGATGGGGCATGAGGCGGACCCAGGGGTCCACCTGATCCCAGACTCCCCACCTCTTTCCCCATGGCCCAGGACTCTTACCAGGGCCACAGGCTCCAGTCCCAGGGCTGCTGACGACAAGGGTCCAAAGGTTATATCAACTTTGGCCTTCCTGGAGAGAGAAAGAGTTGGGGTGGGGGGACCTTGGGAGAAAAGGAGCTAGAAGAACGGATGTCTATGTCTCCTCCTGCTGCAAGGCTTATCACAGGGATCACCGAGCCTGGATCTCAGGGGCCACCTCTAAAATTAGGCCACTGTCATCTCTTGGCTGTATTAGCTTCCTTACTGGCCTCTCCTCTTGGCCCCTGTGGTCTGTTTTCCATCTAGTAGTTAAGGATCCCGGTAAAACCTCAGACATATCATGTCACCTTTCTGCCCTCAAGCCTTGAAAACAATGTGTTTTCCCATCATACTCAGAACAGTGATAGTGGGTATCACAAACTCTGTGTGACTTGACTCACTGAATTATCATACCTACCCTATACAGTAGGTCTACCATTATCTCCATTCTATAGAGCTTACAAACGGAGGCACAAAGGAGTTAAAATTGTTTGCCCAAGGTCACAGAGCTGTAAGTGGCCAAGCTAGGGCACGAACCCATCCTTAAGGTAAAATTCCAATGCTTCCATAGCACTCTGTCCTATCGCCAACCTCGCCTCCTCATGCTCTCCCTTTTGCCTGTGTAACTTAAGCTGAACTGGCCTCCTGGCTGTTCTTCCCACACACCAAACTCAGCACCTCTGCTCTTGCTGCTGCTCTCCATGGAGATTCCTACCCCAACACAAATGTTACCTCCTCAGAAAGGTCTGCTCAGACCATCCTACCTAGAGTAGCATTGCCCTCTCCCTTTCTATACACCACCTTTTTTATCAGAGCATTTATGCCTCCCTGCAATTATAGAGTTTGCTTCCTATTTTATCATCTATCTCCTCTGCATCAGTGTGTAAGCTCCGTGAGGGTGGGGACTTGTCTCTTATTTACTGTTCTTTCCCCAGCACACTCCCAAGATATACAGCAGGCATCATTCTACGCACTGGAAATATCAGTGGCTGAGATGACACAATTTCTTGGTCTTACGGACTTTAAATCCTAAGGAGTAGAGCTCAGAATCCTAGAACCCAAGAAGGGGTCTGGGTCTCTAAGGAAAATGTCTGTCCGCTGGCCTAGTAAAGGCTGGTCCCTGGGCACCTGAGGGCCTACCTCTCTACGTCCTGCAGATGCTTTAATTGATTCTGTAGCCGCTGCATGGGATCTTGAAGCCCACGCTGCTGTCTTCGCATGGCCCCAGCTTGGGCCCGGAGGAGGAGAGCACGACGCTGGGTGTCTTGAATGCTCTGCAGGGCCTGTGCCATGGCCATGTCTATAAGAGAAATGGGGTGGCCATCAGCACTGCTCATCTTCTCAGCTCCATAGGTCACCCTGAGCCTCCGCCTCTCACTCCATCTGCCCCAGGCTGCTCATCTTCCCAGCCCCATAGGTCACCCTGAGCCTCAGTCTCTTGCTCCATCAGCTCCAGGCTCTGGTCTAACTCCTGGATCTCTGACCGCAGGCGAGCAACAGTGGCTTCCAGCTCCAGCTTCCGACGGGCCTGGTGGGATCAGGTACAGAGTCAGATGCATGGCCTGGTTGGGGCTTGGCCTGGCCTGACTGCCCTTTGTGGAACACCGGTCTCCTCACCTGCACAGGGAGGTGGCAGGGGGGGTTTTCCTAAGCAGTTTCTCTTGTCTAATTCTCTAGGCCAAGAACACGAGGGTATCATCTGTCTTCCTCCTTCCTCCTGGGATGGTCTCACCTATCCTCCTAACCTGTTTCCGGTCTCTACATTTATGACACTATATCTCTGCCCCAGATCTCATCTCTCCACGAAGTGCCAAATCTAGGAGTCCCAACGTCTTCTGGAATCCTCCCCTTAGATGTCACGGGGGCCTCTTACACACAATAGGTCCTCCATTGGCGCCAGTATATCTCCTAAACCAGTCCCTTCTCCCATCTCCCCTCATCAGCTTTGATGCCTCATATCCATGTCCCCTCAACATCCAGCGCATGCCTGTCTCCCTTGGACTGTAAGCCCTGAGTGTGGGGACCAGAGCTGTCTTGCAACCCAGTGTCCTTGGCATCACACAAGCCTAGGCCTAGAGCAGCAGAAATCTAGAAGTCCTCTTTTTGGATGGAAGAAAATCTTATAACACATGCTTCTCACCTCTGGACTGTCCTGGTGGCCATACCTGAGGAAATGAGGCCAGAGTTAGGGGGTGACAGGGACTTCCAGGAGGAGACAGGAGGTGTGAGTCTATGGGTGAAAGTACGGCTGGAGGGGACTCGGGAAATAGGGAGGAATCGCTTTTAGAACCAGTTACCAAAGTAAGTTTCCTCGGATCTTCCTGACATTCCTACAGGGGAGAGGTAGAAGGAAGAGGTGTTACTGTGAGGTTGGCCTGCGTCACCCTCCCCTGTCACAGCCTCCCTCATGCAGCCAGGCTCACCTCTGGCTGTGCACATGCTGCAAAACATAGGCCCAGATGTCAGCCCCCTGGCCCAGACACAGCCTGTGGAGACAGTGTGTAAAGGTTTGCCCCGGGCATCACAGAGTTGGGAGGATCCTTATTCCCGGGGTGGCGATGGTGGGGAGTCTTTACTAGGGAATTGTTACTTCTGAGGGGAAAGGGGAGGGTCTACACTCTTTGAGGTGAGATATTCCTTCCTAGCGAATTCTTGGTCACTGAGTTGTGGGCGTTTCGCTGGATGTGGATATTCTCATTTCCCTGGGGGGGAGGGGGGCAGAGATTCCTTTCTCCTAGGAGAGGGCTACCTCTGGTCACTTCCTGAGGTGGGGGTGGAGAGTATACTGCCGGGTACTGCTCTCTCATTACCCGATATGGGTCATTACTCCTATAGATTCAATCTCCAGTGGGGAGGTCTTTGCTGACTCGGAGTCTCCTCACTGGCTGGGGAGGGTAGGGGTGGTAGGGTGCTGTAGGGGCAGTCTTGCTCCAAAGATCTTACTTCTACACAGTTAGGGGCTTCATGAACTCTCAGAGGATCCTCCGGGGCGGGTGCCCCGCCCTCACTCTGAACGGACTCACGGGGTCGGGTTGTGGGAGTGTGGGGGTCACCGCCAGGGGTGTCTTCACTCAATCCAGGATCCTCTTCCCGGGTATACTACTGGGTGTGGGACGGGGGTTGGGAGAACGCCCTCGAGGATTATTCTCATTCGGGCTGAGGTGGGGGAGAGGAAGGCGGGTCTTCAGTGAGGGGTGGGGTTCTCACCCCCGGAGACGATCTCTAAGGTATGGAGTCCTCACTCCGAGAGCATCCCTCACCTGCGCAGCGTTGACTCCGGGGCCCGGGCTGCCACGGGCGCCCCCATCTCTTCCGCCGCCCAGCAACCCAGTTCCCGCGCTTCCTGCACTAACTCCATCACAGCGCCGGGACAGCCGCTTCCCGCACCCTCTTCATGTGTGGCGCCGGCCTCTGACGTCACGGGCGCGCCGGCAGTGACGCCATGGGTTGCCAGGCAGACTGGGGCCCCGCGGCTCTTGAGCGCTGCGGAGGAGTTCTGCGTGTCCGTCTCCTCCAGGGTGGTTCCTTTGAGTGAAGATGAAAGGGGTGTGGAGAAACGGTGAGGCTCGTTCGCTTTCGGCCTCCCCCCGCTCACTACGAAGTGTCCCCTAAGGGGCACAAGGTCCCAAATGCCTCCCTTGCTTTTCTTGTCATAATGGGACTTTCATCCATGGAGGCCAGGTGCGGAGATGCCAAACTTACCGCTCTTTGATTTCAAAAACAGGGGGTTTCAGGTCTGAGTGAGGGATAGGGGGCCGATAGCAGGACCATCTCCCTGGCATGCTTTCTTCCAGGTATTCGTTCGTCTTTACCTTTCCATAACGTTCGTGAGCCAATCCTGCCCTGGGGACACCGCTGTGGGCGAGGCAGGTCCAGTCCCATCTGGAGCTCACTGTTCAGCGGGGGAGTTGGAGGCATCGCCACCACCAGGTAAGGATGGTAGAATATAAGCAGCAGGAGTGGGTCAGTTTGGGACACAGGGAGTGTGAGAGGTCTGTCGACCGTTCCTGAAAGCACTGGATATTGGAGTGGGAGTTCTGGAGCGACCACTCAGCCTCACACAGGCTCTTGAGAAATGGCAGCATTCAGGGACCTTTTACCGACATGCCTGCCTAGCTCACTACTCTGTGCTCTGTGTCCAGTATAAAGCCTAACTCTCGAAGTATTCAGTAAACAAATAAGGGGAGAGGTGTTGGGGTGAGAATAAAACTGTGGACTGAGGGAGGAGGGAGTATGTGGGAGTCGAGGTCAGTGGCAGCCCAAGTAGGGCTGCGGAGCAGAGCAGAGGACACTGAGTGGGTCCTGAGACTGATTGGCTGTAGTGGGCGGGGCATCCAGGGCGAGGTCCCGGGCTCTGGGTTGGGGACTGCGCAGAGCAGACGTTGAAATGCTGAGAGAAGGGACAGCTTTGGGGGAGATGCTGGTAACAATGTGGGACTCCGTGGGTGTGAGGAGGCAAGGGGACATCCAAGGGCTGGCTGAGTCTCTGTCCCAGGGACAAGGGGACCATGGGATCACCACTGAGATAGTACATTTGGGGGAGAAGCTGAGTCCAGCTTCTAAGTGCTTCATAAGGGCTGAGAAGCAGAAGAGGGTGCCAAGGGCTGATGTAATCCAGGGGGGTTTCCTGGAAGAAAGGTTAGCAGCTACTACTCCACAATGCTTAATTCTCAAAAGGTGCTGTTTCTCTCAGACATTGCCACCCATCTGCCTTTTGTGGGGTATTTTGCTATTAAAAAACAAAATCAATTAGCGTATCTGCCATTGGCCTATGAGCCTTTCCTGGGGCTTTAAAAAAATACTGTCTGTTCAAAAGTCTATCGACAGACGAACGGATAAAGAAAATGTGGTATGTATATACAATGGAGTATTACTTGGCAATCAAAAAGAATGAAGTCTTGCCATTTGCAACTACATGGCAAATAAGCATGAAAGTTGCTAAATATGTCATTAGGGAAATACATGGAAATAGAGGGTATCATGCCAAGCAAAATTAGTCAGTCAGAGAAAGACAAATATCATATGACTTTACTCATGTGGAATTTAAGATACAAAACAGATGGCCAACCGTAGGGAAGGGAAACAAAAATAGTATAAAAACAGAGAGGGGGACAAAACATTAGAGACTCTTAAATACAGAGAACAAATATGGTTTGCTGGAGGGGTTGGTTGTGGATGGGGGAATGGGCTAAATGGGCAAAGGGCATTAAGGAAGACACTTGTTGGGATGAGCACTTGGTGTTTTGTGTGTGTGTGTGTGTGTGTGTGTGTGTGTGTGTGTATCACTGGAATCTACTCCAGAAACTATTATTGCATTATATGTTAACTAACTTGGATGTAGATTAAAAAATAAATAAAATTTTAAAAAATTTAAAAAAAAGTGCTGGCTGTTAAGAGAATGAGAAGACAAATCACTGACTGGCAGAAAATATTTGCCAAACACATACCTGAAGATGGACTTGTATCCAAAATACACAAAGAACTTTTAAAACTCAACCATAAGAAAACAATCTACTTAAAAATGGACAAAAGTTATGAACAGATATCTCACCAAAGGAGATGTACAGGTGGCAAATAAGCATGAAAGTTGCCAAACATCATGTCATTAGGGAATTGCAAATTAAAACAATAAGATAACTCTACACACCTATTGGAATGTCTAAAATCCATGAAAAAAAAACAAACGATGCCAAATGCTGTTGAGGATGTGGAACAACAGGAACTCTCATTCGTAGCTGATGGAATGCAAAATGATACAGCCACTTTGGAAGATGATCTGAAAAGGCAATGGGCTGTATGATCACAAATATATAGTATTCTAGAAAAGGCAAAACTATAGAGACCAGCAAAAAGATCCATGGTTGCCAGGAGATCATGAGATGGGGAGTTGGGGGATAGGGATGAAAAGGTGAGGCTCAGCATTTTTTTTTGTTTTTGTTTTTTGAGAGAGAGAGAGAGAGAGAGAGGAGGGGCAGAGAAAGAAGAGAGAATCTTTTTTTTTTTTTTAAGTTTATTTATTGTGTGAGAGAGAAAAAACACAAGCAGAGTATGGCAGAGAGGGAGAGAGAAAGAGAGAGGGAGTGCTCAAGAATCCCAGCAGGCTTCATGTTGTCAGTGTGCAGCCTGACTACTGTGAGATCACTACCTGAACTGAAATCAAGAGTTGGATGCTTAACCAACTGAGCCACCCAGGTGCCCCGAGGCTTGGCATTTTTAGGAGGGCGAAATTATTTTGTATGATACTGAAATGCTGGGTACATCACATTATGCTTTTATAAAAAGCCACAGAACTGTACAATACAGGGTGAGTCTTAATGTGAATTATAGATTCTAGTTAGTCATAATGTTTCACTCTTGGTCATCAGTGGTAACAAAGGTACCATACTCCTGCAAGATGGGAATAATAATAAGGGAAAATATGTGCGGAGGGACAGGAAGTATATGGGAACTTTCCTTTTGTGTAACTTTCTGTAAGCATAAAAATGCTCATGAAAAATAAAATCTATTAAAAGAATTGAAAGTTGGAATATTATTTAATGAAACATCTATCACCTTAACCTAATAATAACTAATCAGATGCACCTTGACTGAAGCTATAACATAAAAGGATTCTGTATGTTTGGGAAGAAAGGTTAAAACCAAATAAGAGATTACTACTACAGTTTCCCTTCCAACTCTAAAACAATGCTACCCAGAGATTATTAGAAACATCCACTCAAGGTACCTCCGCTCTCAAGGGAGAGCAGAGCTGCTCAGGTGACCATCTCCCCAGCAGCCATGGACAGTCTTCTCACCACTCTCCTCCAGTCTCTGTGCTGTGGGTTTGTCATGTGTCAGCTTGACCAGGCTGAAGGAACTGTATCTTGGAATTGCCTTCTCCGTATGCTTTCTATTAGGATGGACCAATAGAGAGCCTTGGTCAAGATGTGATTTCACTTCTAGAGGGCAGAAGTGAAGCAGCCATTTTGTGGATCACACGGGCTGTCACTGACTGGCTGCTGGCTCATCATGTTTGCACAGGGCAGCAGCCGGGCCAGCAAATGTTTCACCTTTTCCTGGATCTTCCCCCCAACTTCTCAGCTCCTGGGCCAGGTGTGGGTTTA